TACTACTACTGCTACTACAACGACTATAAGAACGAGAACCACTAGCACAACAAGCACTGCTATTCTACTACTACTGGTCTACTAGTCTACCACGATGACGACGACGCTAGTTACTGCTAGTTCTCCCGAAGCTTGTCGTCTGCCCGTGCCACCTGAGTCACAGCAAGCTCTTTGAGCTCCAAATACAAGGCAGCGCGGTTTCCAACGGGCTCCCGAAAAAAGAGATGTTGGTTGCCAAACCCAAGACCCTCGAAAGAGATGTTTTTTTGCCAAACCTCAAGCCCGAAAAGGAAACCCCAGTGCCCGAAAAGGCAATGCTGGTTGCCAGTCCACAAGCCCTACAAGGAGATTCTGTTTGCGAAAAGCAATACTCGAAAAAGAGAAGCCGGTTGAGCAACGAAGTGTTGGTTGCGAAACCCGAAACCCTACCAGGAGAACAGCAGTTGCCGCGACTACAAGCCTCCTTTTCTGGGACGTTGGCCACCGAAACCCAAGTCAAACCCTAAGAGGAGATTTTCGTTGCGCAACCCAATACCCTGAAAAGGTTGACAAACCTGAATCCCGGAAGGAGATGTTGGCTGCCAAACAAGAAGATGTTGGTTGTTGGTTACCGAACCCAAGTACCCTAGCAAATGTTGCTTGGCAAACCCAAGACTCCAAATCAATGAGGTTGCCAAACCAGGTGATGGGAGAGTAGATGCTGCTTAAGAAACCCTGAACCCTCAAGGGAGACGTTGGTTGACAAATCCCGGCCCTAAAAGGAGATGTTGGTTGAAACCCCCAAGCCCCGAAAGGAGATGGTGGACCGAAACCCTAAGCCGGAGATGTTGGTTGAGAAACTTAAACCCCGAAAGCAATTGTTGTTGGGGACATGTTGGCTGAGATGTTAACAGGGAAACTTAAACCCTAAACGGAGATGTTCGTTGAAAAACCTAGACGATGTTGGGTGACAAACCCCAAGAGTAGGCGGTTGCCTGCTTATGCCCCGAAATGGCTTCCTGGCCTGCCTGAAACTGCGGGCTCGTGCCCGAACCTGGACCACATGAACCTACATAACCGGTGAGCTGTTACATGGACTTTTGGTTTTAACTGTAAGCAAAGTTTAAGGAAGCCACTCTTCTACCTACTGTAAACCCCAAAACTCTAAGGCTGCATTAGTGTACTGACGGCAGTCAATGCCTGCTTGCTGTGACGCATGATTCTTGACTTCGCTCCCCGTGATTCCCGACTCTGCATATCTCTTTCGCGACCCTCCCTGCTCAGGTTCCTGACCATGGTTCCTGAATCGGGCTGCGCAATCTAAATTCTACGTGCCTTAGTAAAGGGTAAACCAACTAAACTGTTCCACTCCTGCCCCCGATGCCACCAGGCCCCCACAGCGTGCATTTGGGAACCTGTTTTCGTGTTCTCCACATACAGACACAAAGAGAGAGAAAAGAGAGAGAGAAAATAGAGCAAGAGAGATAGAGAGAGAGACTGAGAGAGAGTGAGAGAGGGAGACGGAGGCGGACGGAGAGCCAGCAGGGCAGGCATGCATGCAGGCAAGCAGGCAGGCAGGCACACAGACAGAGAGAGGAGACAGCAAGAGACAGAGCGAGAGAGAGAAACGCCCCTTGACTGGCCAAGGCGGGGTCGCGCCAGCGACGAAATTAGTGACTGCAAGAGGCATCAATTCGGCATGCTGAGCTAGGTGTGGAAATGCCGAGACCAGGACTTAGCATGCTGGACACCTCCTGCGACTTGACAGTTTCGCACAAGAATTCTTGGCTGAGGACACCCGAGGAAATCCAGCACTTGAGGACCCAAGCTTTCCAACATCGAATCTACAACTCACATTCAAAGACTCGAGACGCTGCTCGCTGCTTGTGTCACTACAAGTCATCTGTCCAAGTGTGAAGGACTTCGATTGCACAGGCTCGCACCGTCATCCTGGCAGCACTACACTACACCACGCAATGGGGATCGCGAGACTCTGTGCTCGGGTAGGGCCAGTTGCTTTCATCGCGGGAGGGAGGAGCAAATGGCCGCACATCAATGTGATTGATTACCGTTCCTCAGTCATTGTGCGTCATCTTTTGATTTGGACTTGGGATGTTCATGGCGGCGTTCACCACCAAACGTTTGGCAGAATGTGTCCCGGAACTGTCCCGGACATGCTGGCTACAGCATCGCACATTCTCGCGTCAGGCCGGGGACGACAGTCCCGGAACCGGACAGCAGTGTCAGTGTCCTCGGCAGTCCCGTCATCCAAGTCGCCACTGCCACCGCGTCTCACCTTGCATCAGCTTCAGCTCGGCGCGGACATGCGCCGGGGGTTTGTGGGCCGGACACAGCTCGTGTAGGCGTTCTTGATCCTCGGACATGGACACAGCCCCGAGCCCCTGAGCCGAGAAGAAGCCTGAGACTGGGACAGCTTCTCCAGCAATTCATCATTTCCAGTTCGGGCAGCACGAAACAGGTCACGACAAAAACCAGCGCCCAAGGCCTCAACGAAGCGGAAAGCAGAGAACGGAGAGCGGCGAACTGCAGCGAACAGGACAAGGCCGACACGACTAGCAGCCCAGGCTGATTGTGACTCTGATCCAGCTCCTGCACAGGACATTCTCTGGCAGGCGTGCTCCTCCACGTCAGCCTAAACGACTTTCTGGCCTCAGGCAGCCCGGGGGGCGAGCAGCGAATTGCGACCAGCATCCTCTTTGCTGTCTCAACGAAGTGAACATCTCAATAAATCGACACAACTTCTCGTTGCAAATGGTGAGGCCTGGGTGGCGTGGCGCCGGTGGAGGTCTTGTCCACAGGCCTCAGAAGCAGTCGGTCTTGGTGCAGACACCTGCCCTCGAGATGAGGAATCTGTGAGACTCTTGCTCGCACTCAGTGTTGTGTACGGCCCAAGGAGGAGTCGGACCACGCGGGGTGTCATCCTTTCACCCCATGAGGGCTCGATTCTGTGCAAAAGCGACGGGCCTTGCCTCATGGCTTCGGCACCTGAAAGAAAGGCCGTCACAGGATCACAGTTCCGCATAGCTTGGATGACTCAGGTCTGTACAGGAGTGGATGCGGATGATCGAAGACACCCTAGACGTCTGCACAAGTCCGAATGAGGCAGCTAGGGCCAAGTGCCAAGGCCTCATCCCGGCTGTCCAGAGAGGACCGGCTGAAGCAACCTTGCCTGACAGCTCCGAGTCTGAGGATGTATGACCTCCTCACTGGGTTTCCTTGGACTCTGACGCCCAGACGCGGCTTCCCTCAGGCGAGAAGAGCGACATCCGAGAAACACCCAGAGGAAAAGCATGAGATTCAGATGCACGCGACCTCGAAGGAGTCGTCAACGCAGTTGCAGGACTCAGTCGACAGATACTGCTTCCCAGTGTCGACATGCAGATGAATGTCCACATGGGCCTCGCAAACGGCCGCTCGCGCCACGTCCACCGAGCCTAGAAAGACGAGCACCCTTCAAAAGGGATCCGAACTCAAGCTGATAGGGACCCGGCAGCCCAATCCCATGAAAAGTAGTCCATTTAAAGGACATTGCGAAGAAGCTCACGCCATCAATCATGGGCAAGGCGAGCATGCATCTTTACGACTTGCAGGTCCCTGGCCCTTAGGCATGCAATCTAGCAATCCCTGCAAAGCTTTTCTGCCTGAGAATACCTGACATCTCGCATGCTGAAGATCAAGTTGCCGATGCTGTTCCCATTTGTGCCCTGATGGCTCTGATTGAAAATGCAAGTTGCTCTGCGAGGAGAGAGAATTGCTGACCAGCAGGCTCAGGAACATCCACGCAAAAAGGGCCCATTTTTTGTCCAGCACCTCTTCTGTGCGAACCTGCTGGCATAGCAAGCCAAATCACGAGGCTCAGCATTTCTCGGGGCCAACATCGTTCTATGGTTGTTCCAGCTCCACAGTCTGAGAGTCTGTGTCTCGGCCAGCGGGGGGTCTGCTTGCAAAACCGCCTCAGCCTCCACGGCATCACGGCGTCTTGCAAATCATCTTAGTCTGGAGCGAGTCCGTGCTGCTCTCCGCGTGGCCATTTCATCGAGGAGCTTCTCAAGGAGCTTTCAGCTCCAGCCACCAGGTCGAGACACGCTTCAAAGCTTTGCTCTAGCAATGTTCAAGATGTTGGTAACCTTAGTAGGCCGGATACAGACATTGATGCTCGATCGTTGTGATACAGCACATAAGTCAGGTGCTGCAGCACAAATTTCCTCCCGCTCCTGGCAGCATGCAGTCATTCAGGAAATGCAAAGAAAAGACACCACAATTCCGTGTGAAAAGGGAAATCGCCTCTTATACTTGGCAGGCATAGCATCCGTAGCCCTGACCTTGATCAGAGAAATCAAGAACTCAAAAAGGAAGTGATGTTGGACTGACTCCACCGAAGGAGGGAGGGGCACACAGCAATTCGGAGCATGCATCTCACATCGGGGATTCCACCACAACCGAAAGAACCGGCCGTGTGGAGCAACCAGATTGCCCCAAACAATCAAAATAAAAATTGCTCATGCGTACATGATGGGCACACCAAGCTCAGGGGAGCTGCAGTTCACTGGGTGACAGCTGACCCGGAACGACATCGAACCATAACATTGAAGGGAGAAGGAATTTTTCTGCTCTCACAGACAACAAGCTAACAGGGAGAGCGCTGGGAGGTGCTCCGTGTCGCCGTCTTCGAAGTTCTCGTTGCTAGAATGACCATGTTCCGACAGACATGCTCCTTTCTCGTGTTCTTGAGGTTTGTGACTCAATGCAATTACCGCGCGTAGCGCGGTGTGTGGTTGGAAATCCTAGGCCCTCGTGCATCAACGCCCCCACCTGTCGGGAACTCCTTTGAAAAGCGAGCTGAAACTGAACTTGTATCTGCAGCCTGCAGTTGGTGGCATCTCTGCGCAGCTTGTGGCGGGGTCGTGACCGCTCTGCAAACACGCTTGGTGAGTGGTATTGTGACTATGCTTGCTGCTACCGCCCGTATCACTGGTAGTTTACTAACTAAGATGACCTGTGTTGCCTATGACAGTTGCGACAATTGATACTTCTCTTGTCACGGCATTATCACACTAACAAGTGAAGGCATTGATGTTGCTCTTAGATTTGCCGTTCCTGTTGCTGGGCCTGGTCTCCAGTGGACTGGGCTCATGTCCTGCGGCTTTGCTTCATTCAATTTGTTCTTTCCTCTCTGCGTTCCGATGCGCTCTTCTGCTGCTGGCTGATTGTTTTCCTCTCACCCCTCCAAAACCAAGACTTAGGCATCAGCTGGAACTGGAAGGTCGATGGTAAGGTCTGGATAGCCAGCTGAAGCCTGCGAGATGCCGCGACGAAATGTCTCCAACACAAAACCCTGCTTGCGGCTTCAAAAGCACAGTGTCGAACCACGCAAACTTTCTCGGGAGCCAGGTCTATGTTCACATCGGTCCGCTCGATGCCTCAGTCATGCTCTTTTCTCTCGGGCCATCTGTCAGCCTTCCACATGAGAAAGCCTTCCGGCAGCATGATGTTCACAGTGACAAAGGTCTTCTCCTCATTTCGGCCAACAATACTCTTGTTCCGTTCACTTTTGCAGCTGCTTCACGACGGGCCCCGGGCATTTTCCACAACGTACTTCCACATTGCGGAAGAATCGAGATCTGCCTTTGCATACAGGCATTTGCTGCTACAGCTTTTTCGTGGCAGGGCAACTTACCTTCTGGATTGCAGTAAGAGAGGAAGACACGGCGTCCAGCATCTCCTCGCATCCACGACAGAACGGATTCTTAGCCATCTCACGCAGATTTGTGGTGGCGGAGACGTACTTGCAACCTGAAAAAGACTCCCGCCCCTGCCTTCTCCCCTTCCACACAGCCAAGAGAAGGAAGTTACCTACCCTCCGCGCACGCCTTTGCCCTGGTTTGAGGGGTTGGTGTGACGAAATCATGGCCCGGTCCGCAACCTTGAGAGCCTTCCTGAATGAACGCTTACGGGTCTAATTAGGCCCCTTAGGCTGATGTCCAGATACCTGTTCTGGTTCCCCGTTCGCAGCCTGTTGCTGCTGCCTGGTGGCTGCTTACTTACGACAAACAACAAGACCTCATGTTTCTCATGTACGTGTTCACTCTGCCACTTTGCCCAAAGCTCTGGCTTGCTCTCTGCATCCCCTCCTTTGGCCAACCAGCTTTGGCGGCCAGTGCTTCACAAACCTGACACTTGGGTCTGGGCTTTAGCCCACAGGCCTCCCTAGCTTGCGCCTGGCGGTCAGGCGAAGCGAACGTGAGGCAGCACCTGGACATGTTTCATTGAGAAGTCTTTGCTGTCAGTGCGCTCGTGAGCCCTTCACTTCCAGGGCGGTCACTGCCAAGCTTCGGTTCTCAGCTGGGGCGCGTTGCTGTCGCCTTGCAGATGCGCCTCGAAAAAGACAGTGCCGGCTGAGAAGTGACACTTCGCGGGCAAGCCTGCAAGGCGGTCTCCAATGTCCAGTGCACATGGTACCTGAAACGCATTTGCGGTGATGAAGGAGACGAGTTGAGTAGACCCGTCGTTACAAACAAGGCACATGCTTCCATGATGCACTGCGGCCTGACCAGCTATCTCTCTGAAATGAGAGACGAACACTTCAGTTTTGCAAGGCCGAGCACTTGGCCAACAAATCTGTGCAGACGGAGTACACCTCCAGGGCTTGCCTGACACAGTGGAGTTCGAACAAGCAGAGCCAAGGAAAGGTCGTTCCTGGGGCCGTGACACCCTTGCACCCATGCGCTTCCTCCGCTGAGCGACTGTGTGGTATGCACACAATGCACGCTGAGCTCCCTCCTTGCGAAAGCAAGTCCCATGAAAACCGGTAGAAAGCTCCTCACATCAGCGCAGCGCCACCGAACGATGAACGATGCTTCGACTCAGAATCTCGACAAGGCCAAGGGCCGAGCGCAGTGAGCAGGCGCTGGACGGGCTCGGGCCCAACCAGTCCTAGGACCGAAGCTCCCGCGACCATCTTTGCTCTCATGGGAAACTCTCCAGACAATGCCTGCAGAGGAAATCAAAGCATCGGCAATCACCTGACAGAGACTTTGCACAGCACCCTGGAGAATCAATCCCATGCCACATTGCCTGTCGACAATGCTTGGCAAGTCCTTCAAGATGCTCGACCAACTGGCGACAAGGTGCCGGCTTCACGACTTGATAGCCCAAGGAAAGGAAGGGCCAAAAATTCCAGGCCTCAGGAAGCGTCTTTTTCTCGGAGTTGGCCGTAAGTGAGTCAAGCTGCTCCAGGGCCCACTGCACCTATACGAAAAGACCACCGACCGGCCGTTCCAAGAAGAGTGCTCTGCACGGAGCACAGCCTTCTCTACGTCCAGGAGGCTTGCCTGCGAGTGCAAATGCTTGATTGCTGGCAGTCGCCATGGTCCAGCCTCCAGTTTGCATCGCGGGCAGGAGCCTGCGAGTGTCTGTGACAATGCTTCTAGGATTCTAGAAAGCTTGGAGCATTCCTGAATTTCGAGCTGAGTAGCAGGAGAAACCGAAGGTTTCGTTGAGGTACTTCTGTCGCAGCTGCCTGGACCTTTTAAGCATGTACATGTTCTGAGATTTTAACACTGCTGTGCCGGCTTGGTTGCAGGCTGAAGTGTCGATGCGTACCTGAATACTGCATGAAATCGGTGCTGTCTGCGCAGGGAGCGTCGTTTCAGCCAGGCCACGACATAAGCAACTCCTGACGAGGGAGAGGTTTCGGGATCGGCTCGAAGGGATCCAAAAAAGGGCCGGTTGAGACTGGCTACGCCTCGCCGGCGACGATCGGCTTGGAGGCCCGGAGGAGCAGCAAATCGCCCAGAAACTGTTCCGCGACCTGCACAAAGAGGTGTGTTTAGCAACCTGCGCTGTCTTCTTCTCTTTCGCACCAGCTGAATCGTTGAGGGGACGGCATTCGGCTGACAGGAATGGTTGATAAGTGAAGGCAGGAGCCAACACCCGAACCTTCGCGGGTCGCAGGCTGCTCATCTCTGCTTGAAGGGCTAACCAGTCACCGGGAAGGGCGCTCAGGATGTCGATTAGCTGCGCCAGATTCAAGAATTGTGTCTTTGCTCAGGGCGTTCGCGAGAAGGACCTTTCTGCTGCTTTGCCAGCAAACAACGCCTGAAACTGCAGTACTTAGGCAGATGCTTTCTGGACCCTCTTGGCATCGACTTTTCGGCTTCGTTTGAGCCTCCAGAACCACAGACCGAAGAAAGCTGTGTCACACGCCAGCTTTGCTCAACTGCCTCGGAAGATTACCGATCCAGCTTCGCAGATCACGATCCTTAGCAGCGCGCTCCTACTTTTCGTGTGCTCAGAGGCCAAGCCACAGTCTAACCTACGCATGGAACTGAGGTGGAAACCAAGGTTGATGCCTGCTGCAGCTCGTCAGCGCCTCGGCTGACACTTGCCAACATCGGACACATCCTAGCCAGCAGCTATCAGTAAGGGCTGCGCCACCCTGCAAACACATGAAGTTCTTGTACTCCTCCTGGAAAGCCCACTGGCACTAAAGGCGACAAACAGGCTTGCGCCCAGTGGCCTCCGAACAGGTCTTCAACTTCTCCAAAGCAGCTACCTGTGCTTAGCTCAGCTCCCAGTCGCTACAATTCGCAGAACAACTTCAAAGCGATGAGTGCGATGGGCATTGAGTGAATACATCTTTGAGTGCATTGGCCTGCAGCTCGTCCTGTGGTGCGAGGACCAGTGCCTGACACCTTCGAGATGGAAAACAAACACACTAGCCGCTGTTGGCAATCTGGCAAAGTTCGACAGCAGAGGCACACGACGAGCAGTTCGCCCTGAGCCACCGCAGAGGACACCACGAGCCTGGCTGCACCAGGCTGCGTTTTCCCCTGTGCCGAACACCCGAGCACCCGGCCCTCGCCCAAAGCTGACATCAGCGATCTGCAGGCCTGGGCTCGCTCGGAGACGAAAAAACTGGAGCCCGGTTTCTCGGGGCCAGGGCGACCGTCGCAGTGGGGCTGCACAGGACATGCCTCTCTCAGGGATGCAGCCCGGATGCAAATGCAGCCAGGGAGCCCTGGCCCCCGGCCTTCTGCGTGGAGGGCGTGAGCCACTGCGCCAGGTCGCCAAGTTGAAAGTGTCATTATGCTTTGCGCTCATAACTTGGCCCGGCCCCGGCACCTGTTTCTCATACTCGAAGACGGCAGGCCAGTCCAGCTCCGCAAGGCCGCTCATCCTGACGGCCCACCGGCTTTGCTTCCTCTGCCTCCATGTCCGCTCTCAGCTCCTGAGAGGCCGAGCTCCGCGGAAAGCTCATGGCTTGAAGGCAAGAGGAATTGGGGCCTCATGCCTCTCCGTACACCACGACTCCAAACCGCTCTGCATTCTGGCTCATAGGCGTTTACAGTCACACAAACCAAATAATTAGCAGGCGCTTGTGAGAGTTGTTTTGCAGCCATCGGTATGGTCAGGCTTGCAGGTGCGACGCCAACGACACAGGCGGATCACGTCATGCGCGAGCCGATAGTTGAGTGCAAAATTGCTGCAATGCAATGCACAGCGCAAGAGTAAAATGTCGATATGCACAAGTGATACACAGCCGAAAACTTGGCCATCGCACGTCCATGATGCCGGGCGGGCCCCTCTTTTGATTTACGTCCACCACTGACTCAAGCTGTCTTCCATGAAAATCCCCGGCCATCTGATGCAAAGGCAACTGCATGCCAGGGTTCAAACTACAGCACATCCGTGCCAAAATAACATACATAAAGGAAACAGTTGAGGATGCAACCTTGCGAGGCAGTGTCTGTTCTCGAAGCATGCCACGAGCCTTAGCTACATCCGTGTTTGCAGGACCTTGAGAACAGCCTGCAAAAGACACCAGCCCTCAAGCATAGCATTGTAGCCCGCACAGTCCGGTGTGGAAAATTTTGACCAGCTGAGCTCGCATGTACAAGAACGCAGCATGAACCAAATGTTCAAGCACAAAAGGTCTCAAGTCGTCACGCAACACGGCAATGAAGTGTGTCATATCAGCAGCTACACATTCATTGCCGATATCACCCGGGCTCATTTTGATTGGAACAATACCCTCACAACATCCTGCGATGAGAAACTGTGCAAACCACCACTTACACGCATCGAATGCTCTACTGTAGATGCTGAAACGGGCACTGTTCATAGATGCCCTGGGCACGGGAATCTTCGTTTGGAGCCTGGTGTTTCCGCCGCATCTTGCAAGCACATTCCAACTTGACCGGAACGACAGTTGCAGGGTACAGTTTCAAGCGCGAAAGCCTGGAAAGCCTTAAGTGACGAAGCCACTACCAACTTACAGAATGAAATGGCTTGAAGTGTTAGGCGATGCTATGCAGCACGGCATGCAATCCACGCAAGTCGAGACCTTTTGTCTCAACTGGCGCAGGACACGCGAATTTTCCTGAAGCTTCAATCGGCAGGTTCCAGCTGAAGCTGGCACTCAGCTTGCTGCTTACTGCGCCAAGAAGCCCACCGTAGAAGTTGTATGATGACCTGAAGAACCAATGTTGCTTCAGTTTTGTCCAGAAAAATGCGCAACAAAGGTAGGCATAGGTCAAACCCGAAAATCGATGGCGAGAAACCGGAAACAGCCAATTGCCCCTCGAGAAAACAAGATGATACACCAACTCAAGTGATTTGGATGCAGGTTCCAGCAGGTTGAAAGGCTGTTTACTAGTGCTTCAACCATTGCTATGACGAGCCACTGCCCCAGGCTTGACTGGTGGTTTTGGCAAGGCGCAGGAAAACCCCGGTGTAAGTTCTCGGAAGCCGCCCTGAATGACCCCCGACTGGAAGATTCACTAAACCCGAAAAGCCCCGAACCCTGGAACGGGGACCTGAAGACTCGGCATTTATGGTCAGGCGTCTGGCGTTCCCAGCCCCCTCAATGGTATGGTCTGGTAGTCTGGTAGGGGTGGGGGGGGGCTGGCGTGTGCGGAGAGGGGTCGGGGCGGTTGGGTGAGGTGCTGCTCTACGCAAGCCATAGACCCTACAACGTAGGGCGTGTTGCTGTATGTAATATTTTAAACCGAACACCCCCCCTAAATCCCGGCTAAATGCAGGCTCTATGCTTGAAGAAGAACATAAACCGTCACCCTAACCAACCTACACCCCAAACCCTAAGCTCTTGTCGACTCGAAGCCGTATGGCTTTTTAACCTTACACCCCAAACCCCAAACTCAAAAGCTTAAGCTAGACCCTAAACCCCAAAACCCCACAACCACACAACCACACCACAGGGGGAAGAGGAACCCCACACCCCACCCACAGAAGGGGGCATCCTGGACCATGGACCATGGGGGGGGGAGGGCGACCGCGGAGGGCCTGACCATGTTTCTAAGCCTGAAAATGCTGAAAGACCTGCAGGAACAGTAAACATCTACTACTGCTGCTGCTGCTGCTGCTCCTCCTCCTCCTCCTCCTGCTGCTGCTGTTACTGCCGCTACTGCTGCTACCACCACCCCTACTACTCCTACTACTCCTGCTACTCCTACTACTTAATGTTTGCTCGCACTCGCTCACTTAATCACGCTCGTGACGAAGGCAAGCTCGCGGTGCAAGATTCTCACAACAAGGGCAATGAATGATCATGCCGAAAATGTGTCGAACATGAAGACAAGTCATAGGTCCTCACAAAGTCGGCAAAGTCGACATTTAACTCGCTTGGCTGTGCTTCTATTTGAGCAGGAATTACTTACTTGCTGTCGAGGAACCAACAAGCTCAACATAACTACTTGTGACATCAAGCCAACAACACAATCACCTGCTCGAGTTCCACCCCACTGTGCGATCCGTGCCCCAGGGGATTGGAGCCACGGGGGTGCTCGGCTTCGCCAGAGGGACACGTCTCCAGAAAGCATTTTGGCTCCAATAAATGTGAGGCCAGTGCTCCAATTCGTTCCACCACTATGGTGACTTGACCTTATCCACAACACACAGCCCTGCAAGTTCAACAGCAATAAGACACATGGCTCCGGCCCGTCGTCTTCAGGCTCGCGTCCACTCCACTCCGGAGAGTGAGAGACATCCTACGGAGACCCAACTTTCTGCTAGCAGAATGAGGCACCGATTGCTCCTGCAGTGAATGCCGGAATTCCATGTCCAGCTTGTCGCGACCTTCGCAGGCCAAAATACTTTCGGACAGATCGATGGAGACTCCATGAGCAAGGATGATCGTAAGGCTCCAAGCGAGCCAAAATCTCCACCAGAGTTGTTCGAATAATTCTGGGTTGTTCCCTGACCTCGTGCTTTCACACATACATATGCGCCGTGCAACTTCCCGAAGTATCCCAAAGTTAACAGGCCAGCAGCACATCATTGAATTTCGAGTCCGAGATGATCCAGATACTTCCTGGCCTGACAGCTGCAATGAATTGGAGGATGGGATAGACAAACCGGAATGCCATGCAGCTAAGCTCTCCAGCTCGAACGGTAAGCTTACCAGGCGATTGGCAATGCTGTCCTTTGCAGCATGTTCCGACGGGAAAAGATTGCAGTCTTCCGGTTGGCCAAAGCTGCTACAGCACATGGACGCATCCAAGGTCCTCCCATTGAATGGACGGCCCACAATCCTTGACTTGTCGGCGGTCCTGGCAGGGTCGTTGAAGCGACGTTGTGCGATTTCTTGCTGTCGCACAGCCTTGACATACTTGTACTCAATATGGATGAAATGAGAAGCTCGTGAAGCCTCTGCCTCCCCGCCTGCAGGTCTAGTCCGCCACGAGCCGTTGTGAGGGGAACTAAACATTCCAAAACCGGCTGAGAAATGGACTATCGCCACTTGAAACCACTTCAGGTTCCTCCGGGATGACCGAAGCATCACGTACCTGGACCAAGGAACGGGCACGGGAGGTGCTCTGCTTCAATCCGGCTGCAGACTCACGATCCGTGGACTGGCAACGGAGTGCCCTGGAGTGTCAAGGTCCTGCACACAAGAAACATACTCGCAACTGCAAGTTGAAGAAAGTGCAAACCAAGATCTCCGAACGACACAAGGAAGCCGATGAGTCACTTGTTTCCGGCCTCCGTTTCGCGCACAACAGCACTGCTTGAGCTCAATCCTGTTCTTGGCTTCTTGCGAGACCCACACTGGCGCCAACCTCAATTGAATGGGATTGGACTCGGGGGAGGGCACTTCCGACAGTGTATGTGATGTCCTTAGGCAACGTCATTGCCCAACAAGGATAGCACGAAGCTCCCGTTCGAAGTTGCCTTGCCAAGCTGGATGTTTGCATCAGTGATGCCGTAGTTGACTGCAACACCGGGCGCTGGGCAATCCCGATGTGTAGCAGTCCCACGCTCCCAGCCTTGCAAAGCAACCAAGGTCTGACTTTGCTCTGGTAGCAAGTTTCGAGATTCCGGAGTCTCGAGGACCCCGCTCCGTGCGTGCGCCGACGACAGTCACCGTTTCGCCGGGCCTAAGCACTCGAACGGAAAATCGGGTGCCGGAAGGAAAGCTGTTGGTAGCAGGGCTTGCCTGGTCTCTGCGTGCCGCATCTCAAAGAGCAACCCGAGACGTCCCATCGCTCGGCCTTCCAGCACCGCACACGGCAAAGCAAATCTCTCAGTCAGGGGTTTTCTCGACCATGTCAGCGCAATCTTCACGCCTGGGACAGGGGCCTCCACTGCCACCCGTGTCACCGTGAAATTTCTGAACACTATCTACTACCAACTACACTCGAGCCACATGACCGTTCAGGCGCAGCGACAAAGACGTTGGTCTGAAATCCATCGGAGCTCCCAAGCCTGCAGTTCAACGTCCTTGGCTACCTTTGCGGGGATGCCGAGACCCGGACTTGAGGTCCGTATGCAGTACTTACATACTACATGCAGTCACAGATGAGATGCTAGATGAGATCTTACATTTCTGTACAGTATTGCTAACAACCCATGTGTGTGATGTTTTTCGTACGGCTATTCATAGTGATTCATACTTCTCCTTGGTTAGGTGTTGGCCAGGCTGATTAACACTATGCCGGCCTGTCTTTCTCGTACCGATCTTATGCAATCTCCATCTGCTTGCCTTGAGAACATGGGTGCAACAGATGTTTTTGCACTGCTCGGATGCTGTCTTTGTGTTCCCGGTCTTGGTCGTGCCACCGACCGCCCACTTCTGGGTCTCCAACGGCCAGCTCCTGGCTGCGCACAGCAGGTTGGGGGAACTTCTACTGAGTAAGTCGGAGCGCCTGGATCTGCATCTGTAACCTTAATAAGGGGACGTGGACGTGGCCATAAAAGGCGGGGGGCGCTTAACCGGCGAAGTCTCGGGTCTCCACTCGGACATTGCATCGGCCGACCTGGACTTGGCCCTTCCACAAAGAGACGGACACGTCCAAAAGATGCCCAAGCACCGCAGGCCTGCAAGGACCGTTTCTCGGTTTCCAAGACCTCCGTCTGCCTGGGGCGTTCAATCGGTTCAGTCAAGTCGCTTCCCCTTGGATCCCACATCTGTGTTCCTGGCTGGTTGATCCGCGTTGCTCGTGCCTGACGCGACTGTGCCCAACTCTTCTCCAGAAAGTAACAGTTTCATGCCTGCTCCGCCGCCATCTCCAACTGAATCTCTCGAAGCTCTGCTTGCAAAGCCCTCCAACAAAGACTCGCATTGAGAACGATCGGATCGAGACTTGGATAGCTCTGCAAACACAACAAATGTCATGAACTTGCCTGAGGTCGTCGTCAGGACCTCGTCTCGTCTCAAAGCATACCAATCCGAAAGTTGTTGGATTGGTCGTGCACACTGACTGCACCAGCCTGATTGGTTGCTATCAGCAGGATGTGAAACCTGCATGTGCGTGAGAAAATCGTTTCGGGCGGGAGGGTGTCGTGAGCTTCTTGGGTGCATGCGGGGTGAAGCATGTGTGCATGATAGGACAAGTCGTAGCGAGTGTGTGCCGTGTGTGTATGTGTGTGTGTGTATCTCACTCTTTCTTTCTTTCAGCAGGGCTATGGGCAAGAGGGAAGCGTAATCTCACTCTCTCTCTCTCTCTCTCGACGGGGAAAACGACACAGGGCGGTCCAACCCTGTGCCTTGCGCGCGAGCGCGCACCCGCAATCCACGGGTGTCTGACTCTGTTCCCCCGATGGGTGTTCCCACAGGGGGCTCGGCTATACAAGGAAAGAAAAAGCTCCCCCCGGAGGCTTTTCGTAGGCAAGGGGGCGCGGCTACCTAACGTGTTTGGTACAGACTGCAGAGTCCCCCGCTGTAAAGTACAGGTTGCCTGGGGTCCATGTTTAGCGCAACAACAAAGTGAATAGAGAAAACGTGCAGAACTGAAGACACATGGATCCCCCGGTTTTGCATGGTAGCTACTTTGAGTGTGAACGAAAGTTCGTGTGGGCATTGCGAAAGGACAAGACACTACGTGATACAAAACACCGAGTACGCTCAAACATGAAGAACACGCCCCCACAAGCAGCATGCTCAACATTCCCTCGAATTTCCCACGTGTCCCTCACTGTTGCGCTGCTTCTTCACGGTCATCGTCTGTTCCCCCGCATGTGCCTTTGCACTTGCTGCACCGCTCTCCACATAGGGCCGGGATGTAGAGCGACTCCTCTCCGGCGAGGGCTACGGCTCGGTGTGCGAGGTCGCCGTGCTCCCCCTGTACTTGAAGTCGCTCTGTCCGATGGTCGTCCATGTTCCCCCCACGGCCAATTGAGATGTACAGGTACCTCTGGAGCCGTGGTGGGAGCGTCCTTATTGTCACTATCGCATCCCCCCAGGCTTGTGGCTGCGCTTGGCGTTGTGTCCAGCTCGGCCTCGCTGCCGTCATTCCCCCAATCTACTTCTTCAGGGCTTGGGTTCGCTGCGGTGTGGTACTGCACGTCCTCGGTCTTGTTGGTCTTGTTGGGGTCCCGCATTCACCGTGTCTTGCTTGTCCTTCGTGGCTGTCTTCTTTTGCTTCTTTTCCTTCTTCCCCTCCTTCTTCCCCTCCTTCTTCCCCTCCTCCTTGCCCTTCTGCTTCTTCTTGTCCTTGGCCTTCTTAGCTTTGTCTTTTTTGTCGTGGCGCAGCTCGGCAGTCCGGGTGTCTTGCATTCCCCCGTGCCGCTGGTTCGCCAGGGCTTCTTTGTAGGCTTGCTTTCCGAGGGCAAGCAAGGTACGAATCTCCCCCGGGAATCTGCCGATGTGGATTCTGAGCTCTTCTTCCACCGCCGGGCTGCACTTGCAAACCAACTTGACAAGCTTGTCCGCTTGCTCCCCCGTTTGCTTTCTCTCCTTATATCGCTGGAGATAGCGGCGAAAGTCTTCACTCTCCTCTGGTGACAGTACTTCCCCCGTGCTCGGGTTGACGTGGCATTGGCGCTTGCTGTCCCACTTGTAGTCCTTGCCAATCCACTTCTCCAAAGGGCTTGGGTGAAAAAGAAGTGCCATCCCCTCCTTTGTCTCAAACCTCACATACTCGGACAAAGGTCGTTGTGAGTTCTTCGCGGTGGTGTAGTCCGCCGTTGTAGCAGGGTCGGCGGCTTGGGCCGTTGACGCTTCCCCCTTTTTTCGCCAGTCCGCTGTACTCATGGGGCTGCTGACGCTGCCCACGGAGATCATATGCTTATAGCAGCCTTCTCCCCTATCATGAGGTTTATGATACCATGGTCCTTGCAGGCATGCTTTGCAAGTCACCCCAATCTCTCGCAACCGTTCGGCCAACCTCCGCTGGTCTTCCCAACTTGTCTTCACCTTGGGTGACTTGGCGCTGAGGGGCCTGCTTTCCCCCCCGTTTTCTGCTCCCAGGATGATCACCAAGGGTTCCGCAACGAGGAAGTATGTTCCGTCCCCCTACTAGAGGGCCACCCCCCGAAGAGGGGCCTCTTTCAGGATCTGGAGTGGCGCCGAAGGGCTAGGGGGCCTCTTAAGCAAAGTGGCGACAGATGTGAAGCTCAAGCACCACTGGGTCGAACGGAAAAGCTCCCCCGGAGGCACAACTCCGAGTTAACTCTCCGTCCTCCCCCCCGTACAAGAGGGCGGCACAGGCCCCCAAGCACAGGTGTAGTACTTGAGCCAAAATGGCTTGTATCTCACTCTCTCTCTCTCTCTCTTTCTTTCGCCAGGGCTTCTCTCGCTCTCTCTCTCTCTCTCTCTCTCTCTCTCCAGGGCATGGGGACCGGTCGAAGTCCCCGGGCAAAAATGCCCACCCCAACGTTTTGTTGGAGCTTTCGGGGAGTGAAGAGCGATCGCAGTTGTATCTCACTCTCTCTAGGGGCAGAGGAAGGCGGCAGCGGCGTCCAGGCCACCTCCCCCGCGCACGAACGCGCAGCAGTTCATTGGCGGAGAAGTGCCCCCAACGGTTTTGCCCTTGGAGGCGCGGCTGTAGAGTCAGCCAGAGGTGCGATCCCCCATGAAAGGATACAAAGATGTGGCTAGGATCACAGGATCGCCCCTCGTTTCACACCTCACCGTATGACATTTCTAAGTTGCAACAACTAATATCTCGCTCCCTTTTTGTTTCGGCAGGGCTATGAACACGGGGTTGACCCCCCTCGCTCCCTTCTTCCACACAGACAAGAGCTCGGTCTCTCTCTCTCTCTCTAAACCAGGTGGGGAGCACAGGGCGGTCCGCCCCTATGCTCCACGCACGCACCCACTGTTCTTGGGTGTCTTCTCCCTCCGTGGGTTATTGCCGCGGGAAGTTATCTATATTATTATATTATATGTAAGAACAGGATTGAACTGCCCCCCGGGCAAGTACTGTAGTGGGAGGACTTCAGCTGCAAGGGGGCGTTCGCGGACAACAGCTCAGCGTAAGCACTACACGTTCACAACAAAATTTCCCCCCCTTTGCAGCCGTTTCCCCTTGCCGTGGGAGCTCACTGGACGTGTTGTCTAGTGGTTGCAGAGTCTCCTCATCGTGCCACATAGTCCAGGTTTGTTCTGGAAATGCTGCTGGCCATTCGCGTTCATCGCACGATGTGTCTCTGACCTACTGAGTGTGAAGCACTGACGACCTTGTGCCACTGCGCAGCTATTTGCAGTGACATGGCGTGTGGTTCTGCGTGCTCCAGTCGCGCCCTGACACGAGGCATAGTGTCGTGCGATCGCTACATCTTTGCGAGTCTGATTGAGGTGCCGCAGGAAGCAGGTGTGGCTCACTGCATGACGAGGATGCTTAGACAATCTGCCTTGAAGCCCGTGTCGGACGTCTGAGCGACACTAGCTTCTGTCGCAGCCTGTGCTGGACTCCTTGCTGGCAATCCCAAGGCACAAGAACACCCCGACCCGACCCGACCTCACCATTGTACGGCCTCGTTGCAGCTGATCGGCTTGCGAAACTAAACCTGACGTTGCTCGATGACTTCGACCAGGCCGACAAGGAGGCTCTCCAAGACCGCTTTGCTCGCGCATCACAGGCAGTCTGGTTAGACACTGACCGTAGAAGTTATCAACCGAACAGACGTGTCCCCGAATGTCCTCGTGCATGCCAGTGCAAGGCTCAGAGCGTGACAGGGACAGGACTGCCCAAGCCATGCTTTTACAGCCGTTGGTGCCCTAAACAGCTTGCAAGGGACGGGGTGCTTACTCGTGATTCCATTGATCCCACTTGATGCACATGCATTGGCCATAGTGCGCGTGTGTGTGAGTGCGCGCATGTGTGTGTGTGTGGCATCAGTCGCATGTTCCGTGGTTGGCTGACATTTTTGGAAGGTGCCATCGTCATGCCACTGGATCCGGAATGAAGCCACCACACGGGACAAAATGTTGAGACTTGTGTTTGTTGCTATTCCCAGCATGTTCCGTCGACACAGCAGCATACCTGTTAGCATCAGTTGGGCCTTCGCTTCCTGCATCTGTCGCCCCTGCAGCGAACAGTGACCGACTGATCATCCGGCAGGATAACTCCATGCCTGGTACTCCCGAAGAAGAGAAGACAGTAAAGCTTTCCCGGCCAGAAGCTGGTTTTGGGCCTCGTGCACCACTTTGCGGCTGCATAACCCGACTGAGTCGGACCGAACTGGGCCCTCGGCTCCAACTACAACTTCCTGGCCTCGGGCAACTCAATGTGCCATATCACCTTCTCCCCCCTTGTGGCGTGCGCTGCAAAACGTGAAAGATCATACCACATACAGATCATGACACACGCGTGCATTGCGTCGGAACCAGGTAACCAGCACTAAGCAAGCTGGCGTTGGGAGGTCATCGTGGATGCGATGCGCATGGCTTGGCCGCCGGCCTGTGCCTTCACTTCTCCACAGCCACGCTCCCTCGCCGGGGCTCCTCTGATTGCTGAGGCACTGGCACGTTCCAAAGCTGCCTGGAGAAATGCCTGCCTCCAGGCCGAAGCTTGCAAGACAGGCTGCGAACCTCAAAGCTCAGCATTGGACCGCTTCTTTTCCTGCAGCACCTGGTCAAGTGTTGGAAAGCGGAGAAATGCAAGCTACTCATCTAAAGTTCTAAGGTACTTGGCGACACATGCGTCTTTCTCTCGGCTCAGATGAAAAAACTGGCCGATTATGGGATTTAGTGTTGTGTTTAGCACGAGAGCCAGGGCTCGTGAAGGCGGTAGGTAAAAGGAGGCCGCCCCTGTGGGCGGTTCGCGGCAAATTGCAGCAGGAAGGCCCGGAAATAAAGCAAGAATTCCAGCGCAGGCCAGACGAGGAAACCGACCCAGATTCCAAGGCCGAGGCTGGGCCAATACAAGCCCTGAACGCACGCCGTACAGGTGAAATCCAGAGGAAGGGCCTTGAGAGGAGGGGCTTGGGCGAGGAGACGTGATTCAGCAAGTAAACGAGAAGGCCGAACGACGACGCGGACGAAGCGCCTAAGCGGGCACGGTTCATAGACCCGAAAAGCTTCAGAGTCGGTCCCGTGAGAGGGCATGTACTGAAAACATATCCATATCCATATACAAAAACACATAGATATGTATCAATATTATTTGTTCATTTATGTAAATATAATTCTACATACTTACTTGCTGATTTATTTACTCGCACGTTTGTGTCTTATCTTCTTTTGTTTCCATCCATAATTTTCTTACTGGATGTGTGTACAGAGTCAACACATGTCGTACAGAACGACATACAAAACTATATGCATGTATACAGTATACAGCTTTACGTATGTTCATATATATATAATATATATATATACATACATACATATAAAACGAATATGTACATATTATACACAGCTAGAGACATTGACTCATGTAAGGTCTCAGTTCCACAGCAGGTCCACAGAGAAAATGCATGCAGACTCAAGGCTGGAAGACCAAAGACCAGAGGACCACCCGACAAATGACGAGCAGACCAGAACAGGAAAATCCCCTCCTTTTGCGGCACACCAAAGCTGCCGTGAGCTTAAACAGAAACACCAACGCTTTCACCGCAGCCACAGCCAAGATGAGGAAATGGGAACGGTTTGGAAGGACACTGCAAGGTGGACTGCCTGCCGCAACTGTCCGAATTTCACACCCCCTGAAGATCTAACCCTGGATGTACCTGCAGACTAGTCTTTGCCAACGAAGAACATGCTTGCAGCGATACGTTGGCACCTCTTCTCGGAAAGCCGTCAACCTCTCATACCAATTCAACTGAACTTGCCAACAGGAGCAAGACTCTGTCGAGCCTCAGCTGCACCTGAGTCTCCTCCCTTGTGGCCTTTCACTTGCGCAACGATGCACACCACAGACTTGTCCATATAGTGCAGGGACTGCACAAAAACCCGCAAAGCCTCCAGCTCGGCATCTTGTAATCGACGCTGTCGAGCCTACAGGTATTGCTTCACAAGCACTCATGTTTCTGAAGAGATTGAGGACACTGCCACCAAAGCCGCGTGCTCCAGTCTGCAGTCCAGCACCTACCACAAATGGCGACGACTGAGCACTTCCCATTTCCACCTTCTGTCCCGTCTGCAAGCCTCGGCTTGATCGATCCACGCAGGAAGACCGGCATGGCCTGACCAGGCCACCCAGCAGATCGAATCTATCAGGTTGAAGGCTGGATGAACCTGCTACAGAGATGCAGAGTGCCAAAGCCTTCGGACATGCAACTTCCGGATGGATCAAACGGTGTAGACTCTGCTGCCTTCGAGCAGTGCTGACAAGAGACGGGAAACAATCGACTCCGGTCCTGCCTGCGCGAGTTTTGTCCGAAATGTCGGCGAGGTCACCCTGTACATGCGCAACCACTGAGAATGGAAACCATGTTGCCGGCTGGTGCCGGTGGCATGAGCACAAAGCATCCATGTTTCGGGGCTAGGATCTTTACAAACAACCGCTTGAGATCAACTACTGGCGACACATGCAATGGGCGCTTGACAACACTGTCTCACAACACTCCATGCAGTTGCCTGCGGCAAACGTCGTACTGAAGAAGATTGAAACAACACTGCATACTGTTGTCTCGCTTGTTGCGAACAACCTCGCTGTCGTCATCAGCGACAACCGCACATGACACTTAAAGTTGAACGAAGAATAGCAGAGATGAAAGCCTGAAGCAGCAGGTCATGCAAGTGAATTGCTCAGCTCTGCCTCGCATCGGATGCGGCGACATTTGCCGACCCGGGCTCAACAGGGTCCGGCCTGTCTTCACACTGCAAGCAGGGTTCTTCACGGGACAAGAACAACCTGCCTTGGCAAGTAGCCCAACAATCCCAACGACGGGGACTCTTCATGCATGTCAAACCATTTAAAGAACTTAGAGAAGGTTGACCTAGAAGCACTGCCTCCGCCAGAAGCCTCGTTGCTCTGAATATTTTTGCTGGACGAAGCGAAGTGAGGGTTGCTTGTCAGGAGCCGAAACCGTCAAAGGCGAGCCACGATGAAAGCAGTATTACCTGCAGCTGACATCGGCTCCATTTTTGAAAGCTTGCACGATTCACAAGCTGAACAACACAGCACTCACAGGCCTGCAAGATGGCTTGAAGCAGAAATTGCTGCAGACAGAACTCCGAAAGCTTGAACCCCATCTTGCAGGAGCTAGGAATGGGATGCGTGAAACTTTCTGAGGCCGCTTGCTCTGTCTGAGAACTGTGAAAGCTCCAGGATTCTGAGATTACGCAGTGCACCTCTTCTGTTCTCAGAAAGAGAGCGGGGAAAGACGGGTCAGGTGGCTCTATCCTCAGTACAGCCAGTGTGAGTGAACTGTGCGCAAATCTTCATTCAGTCCACACATGAGTCCGATATCGATTCGATGTGCATCACCGATTCTTCTGCGGCGGTCCTTGCAGATCTTCGTGAACCTCTCTTTGAAGGACATGTCCTTCCATGTAATACTTATGCTCGGATGATTTTGAGCTCAGATGCAGGATTGAGACAACTGCTCTGAAAAACCGAAAGCTTGCGGGAAAGTGGTCCACGGGGGCTTGCAGCAGCAATAGCGCGAATCAGCAGGAGCACCGGAGCAGTTGGCACACGGCGGGACGGTGATCATAGCCAGTCTAAGGCTCAGCATGAGTGGATTTGCAAATGAACAGGTGGATCCTGGTGCGTTCACTTGTTGGCTGGTGGGTGCACTGGGCTGGCGGGGACTGAGTGCATGTGAAGATTGAGCTTGTTGACCACGGAGAAAATTCCATACATGTGCTGAGACAGAAGTAATTTAGCCAAACATTATCGCCAAATGAAATCAATGAGCTCCCGATGACAGTGAAGCAGAACATGAGACCCCAACAGATGCTCTGGATGATGGGGCCTGCTATGTCACTTGCTCACATGTGCAGTCAATGTCCTGAGATTGCGATGAAACATAAACTTGCAATCAAGCGCACACGGCCCACTACATTGCACAAAACAGCTGAAGAACACACCACTCAAACCGCTTGAGCATAGCCCTGAAACTGCGATCTCTCATCCTCCGCCCTCCGGTCTGACCCGAGCGCATGTTGTTTAGACTCAGGGCCCCACAAAAGCACTGCCGAACCCCACACCACTACGGCACAGGTCCTCGTCCGCGACGTCTACAGGCCGCTGCTCATCAATGTTCATGAGCCTTTACCGGTTCGTTGGATCGGCTAGGAATGCGTGTATGTCGAGCTGGAATACACACTCTTGCGCAGCACACGGGTTGAGAGCACGACGCTGGATCTGCCTTGCACTCCAGCAGTGACTGACACACCTTGGAGTTAAGAAGTCTGCCAGGGTATGGAAGGATGTGCACGGGCCCGGACTTGCAAGTGGCCTTCCCTCGACGCGAAATGTAGCGCACTCCAGCCATCTTCTTCAACCTGACGGCTGACGGCAGTGCGAAGACACTGCGCCTCCGCCAGCCGCCAGCGCATGAGAAGCCGAGTGAGAAGCGGCATTTACTTCTGCGCGAGCTTGCAATAATCTTTGGACACATTCAGCTGAACCTGATGTGCATGCTTACAAGACGATCAGAAGCCGGCGCTGCAAAGCTTGCCCAAGCTAAGGCAAAAACCTTTCTGAGCAGCAAACCTGAAGTAATCCGAAAACATTGAAACAAGCTGACATGCCCACCTCTGGGGCTTGGTTCCTACATGAGTTGCAAACTGTTCGGCCGCAATCGGAACTCGGCCGTTGACATTATCGGCGTCATCCCAATCACTGCCGGATCATCGCCTTTGAGCAGTTCGTGACTTGGAACAGCGGGGCAGGTCGTAGCTGGAGCACATCAAGGCTCTTGTGAATTGGCACCTCCCACGCCCAACTCATATGCAAACGACGTGACTTGTAGGCTCTGGTCCTGAAGTACACTCCGGATTGAATCTCAAGTTCTAGAGACACCCACTGTGAAGCTTGAGGATTCGTTGACTTTGCAAGCTTTGGTGCAATGGAGGCGTGAAGCATCAGGCCCTATAGAGGATTAACATACCCGAAATACCTTCATCATTCACACCTCGCTCTCGACAGATGCATCAGAGCCCATGGCCAGTTCCTTTTTTCCCAGTGTCGGGCTTCTGTGGCTTCATGACCTCGGTAACACATGCTGTCTAAGTGTCCCATGCCAGGCAACGTTCAACTTGCACGTCCTTCCTAATGCAGGCCACGCAGCGAGCGGCCGCCGGGTTTCTGTCCACGCTCCCTTGTCCAAGGCTTCGCTGACTCCACGAAGATTGCCCTGGAATCACGGTTCACCCAAGTGCAGCCCCTTACCCCAACACTCCCCGCCTGTCGAGCGTACTGTAAAAGCTCGTGATTCAGCAAAACCTGCAGGCACATCGCCTTTCTTCTAACCGAAACCAACATGGCAACTTGCATCATCAATGCCTCATCACTGATACGAGCCCCACCACGGTTCGCCGATGCAACCACGCTTTTCACACCTTCCTGGAAGTCTCAACAGACTGATTGTCAACATGTTTGGAGAACGGAACCTGCTCATTATGATTATTCGGCTGTGACGTCTCTGCCGCTGCCAATATCCGCACAACCGGCAGGAACTGCACTTGAAATGAAAGGAAGCAGCCTCCAACGCAGCACAGTTGACCATGACGTCATCATCCCACACAGCCGACCCTGGACATTCGGTTCTCAACCAACAGTCTGATGCGTGTGTGGAATCTAGTAGCCACATGACAATATGGAAGGGCCTGAATGAGCAGTTGATGTTGATCCTGACTTTGCCTCGTTGTAGGAGCTATCTGACAATCGCAGCACGGTTTGGCTTGCAACTGAACACAAGCCCCATTCGGGCATAGAAATATATTCGCCATCTGGGCATCTGGCGTCACGTCCATCAGTTCCATCGCACGTCTTGAGCACATCGAGACCTCGCAAACTGGCTAAATTCAAAAACCCGAGAGACGCGAGGTCTGGCGCACCGTCACAGGAGTGCACACATGCATGCTTCCAAGCGCCCTGCTTTGGCCCATGATAAGGCATGCGACGTGCTCAAACAACGGGGTGCTGCTCTTGAAGCTGAAGGAAGCGATGCGGTACGGGGTCTCACGGACTTGATTGACGGCGATTTGGTTGACTAAACTACGAGGCAAGTGACTCGCGAGCTCCGGAAACGAAACATGGGGATATAGGGATGTTATGTGACATTCATGCTGCCGCTTCTGAACGGCAATTAGTACCACGACCCTTGCGCTGTCAGCAAGCGGCAGTCTGGTTCGTGTGCAGTCCCGTTTGACTGCCTGGAATAAGGTGATTGCAGGTTTCAGATGTTATTTTGCGACGTCCTACGAAAAGTCAGGCGACGATGCCGCATAATCGGCGCAGGTATCCTCGTCAAGGGGAGTCGCATAAACACGAAAAACCGAAGCAAACCTTGAAGCCATGTTATGCTGGCTATCCACATTCCGATTACTCCGATTGATTGGTGTGGCTATGGCCAACAATAGGAAGCAAGGCAGTGCAAATGAAAAATTCGCCGAGCGCTTCAACGACAACAACAACAACAACCAACAACAACAACAACAACAACAACAGAGTGTGTTGTTTTTCTTTGCAGTGGGTTGGAAAAGAAGCGGGGTGGAGCACAAACATAGTAGGGTTCGCAAAATATAATGCACCAATCTGCCCAAGCGCGAGGTTTGCGAAAATCATTCCGGCATCGACGAGCAAGTGTCACCGATGTTGCCAGCTCAAGCGGCCGCAGCCGTCGAATTACCACATTCCAGCCTGGAGGGCCCAACATTTAGATCTCAACAGTCTCCGGGCTCTCCAACCAAATATGTGTGTTCAGGCTGCGCATGGTACCAACTATCCGGCGGGCAGAAAAACAACTTCACATGGCGATGACGCCGACTGCAAATACCTTCCCAGCAAAGGTCGTGCAAATGTGCCTTGCCCCCGTGTAAACTCTTGCAGGCAGAACGCGAAATAACAGAAGCAATCCGAGCAAATCTCGTGCGGAAAAAAGCAAGACCGCAGCAGCCGCAGCGATACCCCGGGTAAAGATCCTGCGGGCAGCACTACTTCACATATCGGCCCCGGGCAGCAATCCTGCAGGCGAAAGCAGACTCGAAAATTCGCATCGCTGACTGCAAATGTATACAGTCTGTATACAGTGTGATGATCACACTTTCACACCCTTTGTGGAAAGCTAGAGGAGTTCCAAAGAACAACACCCTGCGAACTGATTGGGGTGGAGAGCCCAAGGCGGGAAACAGGCCTCGGTAGGATCTGTTTTCGCGCCAGAAACAGCCTCAAGCTGGAAAAGGCCTGGCGTAGGAAGCGCTTCTTTCGTACAAAACGAGGCCATTGGCTCTGGAACGGAAACGGCTCAGAGCAGGAAAACACCGAAGAAAGGACAAACGCCAAGACAAGAGGTGTTGTTTCATGTGTTGAACTTTGTCAACTTTTCTTTGGCTGCACAGAAGCAAAGGAAAAATAATTGCATGACCGAAAGCAGTTTCCAGCAAACTTTAAACCCTAAGGCCTTAAACTCTCAACCTTGAACCATGTTGCGTGTTTCTCCGTGTCTGAAAGCCAACAGTGTGCAGAGGAGGGTTTCTGCACAACTTTCACAGCCGGAGATCTTCCTTTCTTAACGGGGCTTGCGCTTTTAGCCTGCCTCCGTTGCACGTGGTTTCCTTGAAAGCCTCAAGGTCGACGTTTTCCAGGGATTTCTACGCAAAAGATCTCTGGCAACTGCACTGTCAACAATCAGCCCTGTCCTTGAAAACCTTCTTTACGGCAGACTGTGAGCAAAACTGGCAAAAATTGAGCTTTTAAAAACCAGCAAGAAAAGATCTATGGCTTAATACGCAGCTCAAAACACGACACGTTGAGCTGAGGCACTTGGCAACACAAAAACGAAAGCAAGCCAAACCGCAATGATTTGAATTCACTGTAAAAAAAACATGATCTTTTAAACACATGAGCAAAAAGAAGATTTGCTCAGACCTATGCACTGCACCTGGAAGTCAGCATCTTTGGGTGGCAAGCCGGAACCAGCCCTCGCTTCCAGAGCAACGGCACAGGTTTTTTCTGTCGCAAAGATTTTGGATCCGGGATGTCCCCATGCTGACTTGCAGAAACTGTTTTTTTAGACACAAGGCAACACAACAAAACCAGCCAAGCCGGCGTAATTTTGAGTGCAGTGTTTGCTTCAACCTTCCATGTGCAAAGAAAACTTTTAACCTGATTGCTTGGCCCTAAACAGCTGCAGACCTGCACTTCTACACAGCTGCGAGAGTCGGAAGCAAGACTTGAGTCTTTTGCCAGCGGTTGAACCACATTTTAAACACAGCCGCATGTTTTGCGAGGCCAATATCACAGGTAACTTGGCAATCAGTGAACTTTAGTTGAGCTTTCAAGCATTAAAGCAGTCTCCATCCACAATACAACGTCGCGAAAACACAGGCAGACAGACAGAATCCGCAGTAGACCCTTCTTCTTGATGGCAAGCTTGCCTGCGCATTGCCTTTGCGAAGTTTCACAGCATTGGCGGCATGCACACCTGATCAACCTCGCGCATAGAGTCAAGCCGAAACCAAAGTCAGACTATCTTCAAGGTTTCTTGGAAAGTTTTTGGACACTACAAACAGAATAATAAGAAGAAATCCAAAGCACGCAAAACCCCGCAATGGAATCCAACAAAATCTGACAATCGAGTCTAGATCAAACCAAGACTTGTTTTTACTTGACTGGAAGGCGGCAGGGGTGAAGAGCCCAACCCTGGAAACAACCCCTGGCTGGAAAGCCCCCGATTTTGACAAGCCTTTGGTTGGAAACAAGTCCGGTTCTGGAAGCCGCCTTTGTCTGGACAAAGCCCTCTGCTGGAACAAAGCCTTAGCTGGAAAGAATCCTGGGCTTGAAAGAGACCAATGCTGGAAACAGCCCCTGGGCTGCAAAGACTCCCTAGCTGGAGCTGGAAAAAGCCTTGTGCTGGAAAAGCTTCTGGCTGGAAAGACAGTCCCTGTGGGAAACATTCCCTGGCTGGCAAAAAGCACCTGGATAAAGGCATTACACCACAACCCTAAACTCTGAACTGTAAGCTCAAAATGCACACTCTCAAATTCAGAGGTGCCTAAATCCACAACTTACCCAAGTTTGCTTATGCCAGAAGCAAGCATACACAGGGCTCTAAACTGAAACTAAACAAGCGGTTTTCAAAATTTACAGTGCATTTGAGGCCCTTGAGTTGCTTGCAAAACAAAATTTTCAGAGCTTCTAGAACGCGGAGTGCAGCATTTGGACGGAGTCTTGTAAAGCAAAACAAAACATGCGGCTGAACTCAACGTAAGATCTGTCAAGTACAACGACAAACGTTTGTTCTCTTTTGCACCCACCAAGGCTGTAGTTTCCGCGCATTCTCTTCAGAAAAAAAGAAAATGTCTAGAAAACTGTAAAACGCGACTTGCAGGGGAACAGCTAACTACCTCTTAGACTGAAACTGTTCCAAACACTTCAACCTTGAGGATTCGCACTCCGTAGACATTCCAGTCGCATAAGTCACATCGCCGTGTGTGCTGCTAAATGTGTTGGCCTCAGTTAAAGACTGTAAACATGAAATTAATAAGAAAAATCAACTTCTTCTTGTTCGCGGTTTCAAGGTTCAGTTGGAAATTCTTTTTTGAACTACGAGGACTTGAAGCCACATTAAGAAGTCTCCTCAGGAATTGGCTGAGTTGCCTGACAGTGTGAAGAAGTCTTCCTTGTCAAGGTTTGTGGAAGCAGCTTATCTGTATCCAGAAGCTGGTGGATTGACACATGTGGTGACTCGCTGGTGAATGGGACGCCGCATCATTATCGGGCTAAGCGATCAAGCACATCACACCATTGAAGGTTGGGTTTGGGCATTGTGAACATTTGCTCAAGGTCTACGATCCTAAGGATATTTTAAAAAAGAGTTGGAAGATGGGATTTCCGACGAAGTGGAAGGTGAGGTTGAGAAAGCCTTTGAAGGAAAGGTGTCTCAAGAGCCCACCACTGACATGAGTCAGGTTGGACCACCAGCAGCGTGGGTACGAGAGCATGGCGGAACGCCTGGATGCCCAGCGTGTGGTGAGAAGCGCGGGAAAGCCAACCACAATGCCGCCTGCAAGCGACGGTATGATAAGTGGTTGAAAGACCAACGAGAGAGGTTGGTTGGTGATGGCGAGCAAGTGTCGTTTGAAGGTGAACCCGGATCCTGAGAGCAGTGATGGACATGCTGATGAAGCGCCTGCAGCGGTGGCGAAGCCGGATGTGATTGATGTGGAAATGTTTGAGGATCCGAGTGTCCCTTATGAACAGTTCCCGGATGAGGAGATGCCTCCGGGATACTTTGAGGATGAACAACCTATGGATGTTGAGAAGGAAGTTGTTGAAAGGTCTGAACCGATGAGTGTTGAATCTGAAGATGTTTCGGTTGAGCCCAGACGTGTGGCACGGAGGGGTTGGAACAAGGCCGCCTGAATTCCGGACTTCATCCAAGGTTGGATTCCCCAGAAGGTTTGACTTTTGGAGTTGGTGAAAATGAGGCGCTAAAGCTGGCAAATGTTGTGAATGCAGTCCTTATTGATAAGAATGCTGCGTTTCCTGAACAGATGAAAGTGTGTGGATCCAAAGTTTGGCTGGCAAAAATGAGGAGTGCTTTGTCTGAGTTGGATGGGTGTCCATTGGATGTCTCTTCAGCTATGGATGGCCGGCGTACTGAGCTTGTGAGTATGGATTCACACAAAGCAGGAAGGATTGTGTCTGCTGATGAGGGACATTCGTTTGCCAAGAAGCATGGGATAAGAATCATCCCTACCCGATGGGTTCTTGGACCCAAGGTTGTGAATGGGAAAAGGGCAGTGCGCGCCCGATGTGTGGTGCAGGATGTGGCAAAGGGTGGTACTGCGTCATCGCTAGGTTTGAGTGCGACCACGCCGTCGCTGGAGGCATTACGAACTCTTCTGGCTATTGCTGCCAAAGATTCGATGGATATTGCTACCTTGGATGTCTCGACTGCCTTTTTGCATTCCCCGTTGCCAAAGGGTGAGAAGGCAGTTATTATGTTGCCGCGAGATGTGAGTTCCAGCCCTGCTGGTTATGCCCCGGTATATATGATTCTTGATCAAGCGATGAATGGGCTGAGAGTTGCAGCCAAGGCTTGGAACTTGAAACTGGCAAATGTGGTCAAGATGGTTGGATTGAATCAGTGTCCAACTGAACCGTCTGTCTTTGAAGGAACGGTGAAGGGGAAACAGTTTCTCATGCTCTGTTATGTGGATGATTTGATTCTGTGTGGAAGCCCAGAGGCCATTAAGTTGGTCACAGATACCTTGAATCGCGAGCTCAAGATCAAGGAAACGGGACGCATCACTCCCAATGGAGGAAAGATTGTGTTCTTGGGAAGAGAGATTGAAAGGCATGGTGAGCATCTTCGGATGAGAGTTCCCCCGAAGTACATGGAAAGTTTGTTTGAGACAGACTTTTGCAAGGATCTGAAGGTGTTGAGCAGCCCTCCGGATATTGTCAAGATCGTCGAAAAGGGTCGCGCTGATCCTGAAAAGGATAGTTTGGTTGACGGAGGCTGCTGCGATGCGCTATCGAGCAGTTCTTGGCAGGATCGCTTGGTGGTGTCAGTCTCGTCCGGACCTGGCCCGTTGGATGTCGATTCTCTCTCAAGGTCAGTCGAAGCCTACAGTCTACAGCTTGTTTTGAGCATGCTTTGAGGCAAGTGATTCGCTTCTTGAAAGGCCAATATCTTTGTTGGCAGTATTATGGGTCTGGGAGTGATGTCCCAGACGCAGGACCATCAAGGATTGATATTTATGCTGATGCCAGTTGGGCGCCACAAGCATCTTTAGGTAGGAAGTCGGTGTCAGGGATCGCCATCTTTTACCGTGGTTGTCTGATCAAGGGGATTTCGCGAATTCAGGGATGTGTGTCCCTCAGCTCGTGTGAAGCTGAATTGAGAGCGATTCTCACTGCAGTTCAAGAAAGCGAAGGGATTGCAACTTTGATTGGGCAGCTTGCGAATGGGAAGGTGGGATTGGTCCTTCATACTGATAGTTCATCGGCAAAAGCGGTGCTCTTGAATCGAGGTTTGAGCCGAAGAGTTCGACACTTGGATGTAGCAGTTTGCTATCTACAGGAAAGAATTCAGGAGCAAGGAAGTTTGAAGGTGGTTTGGTGTCCCACGTCTGCCATGGTTGCCGATATTTTGACCAAATGTTTGAGCATGGATTTGTTTCAAAGGCACCAAGGTGCTTTAGGGATTTTTGAGGACGA